GAGCATAGAAGACAGGCTGACAGGCAAACCAGCTTTCATTAATCTTCCTGTTTAAAATTGCTTTGTTTTCTTGTCACTCCCCACCTCCATTAGCTCATGTGCACTTCTCCGTAATTTCATATAGATCGGACTCCTTTTTAATGGCCGTGCTCTATAATATGAATATGCTTTTCATTTATTCCATAAAGATTATTGATAACAATTTGGGAAAAGCAATTTGGGTTGAGCCTATACATGAGGCTGTAATGTATGTAAATATGTATTCATGTATGTTCTCATTTATTGTGTTGAATCTCACCTGTGACCGATTTAGATTTCTTATGATAGTCTTGATTAAAGGTGAGGCTGGAAAAAAATTGATGCCCCGACCTATTGATAGCTAGTGAGAATAAACAGTTTATAGTTGCCATGCAAATTATTTTAAGACAAACTTCCACGTTGTGTGAAATGTGTCTTTTTTTCCGTTTGGCTTTTAGGTTCAACAGAATCCCTCAATCCTAGACCGCATACCACAATTTCTCCGGCAGATCTTCATGGAATGTGGTATCCTACAGTTCGAAGAACTCTCGTCTGTCTCTCCAAATTATACAGATGCATAGATGTACGTGTTTAAATTCTTGTATCTTTACTATGAATTGCTTGTTCTTTCAGTTGGAATTCTTTTAAATCTAAATTTTAAGATCTTGGTGGTGCAGTATTTTGTTTGATATTCTCAGAATCATGGTTTTTAGATATGGAGGTAATTTGAAGGTCAAGCTAATTTAGGGATTCCTAACCCGAGCTTTCTATAGACCCTTAGAATTCACTAATGGACGTAGGGAGTCTCTGAAAACCTTGAAATTGTGGGTAAATTTTGTATGTATGTTTGTATTTGTGCCTTTCTGAGGAGTAGGGCTTTAGCATTTACTAATTCTCAAAGGAGTCCATGACTACAAATAAGTTTAAAACTGCTGATTAATTTGGCTTAGTTTATAGATGAAGATAAAGAGATACAGAAAGGTTAAGTGATATATCCAGCGTGATATAGGTATAATATACATTTAGTATTAAATGTAATGACTTTAAGTAAGTTAGTTTTATATTCAATTTGAATCAGCATCCTTAACAAGTAATATTAAGATTACCTATATTTGTAACTGTGGACTAAGTTTAGTTATTTGCTGAAGTTAGCAGCACCTTTTTTAAGTACCAACTTTGTGCATGGATTTCAGGGGCCAGAGTTATTTTAAGCATTCCAGTTTAATGATATCATCATCATCTTCCCTGCGGTATTAGATTTGTTGACATTTATTTGCTGTCAGTGATTTGTTGCTGAACTAAAATGTTTTATAAAATTTGATGTTTTTAATTTATTAATTTGATTGCTACAACCCTAACTGCATATCAAGAGTGAAATGATTAAATATAGCAGTCATGTAATGAACTGTCCAGATACCAGTATTTCCTAAGAATATGGTTCGAAAGGAGTATGCCTATATTCGCACACTACAGAGATACTCCATACCACAGAGTCCTAGGACTGAACAAGGTTGCACAGTTGTTTCACTGGGACAGTAGAGTCCACAGTACTCTGTATTTAATTTAAACTGCATAGTTGCTGAGGTTTATGCTTGGAAATTTTAGAATGCAACCAGAGTGCCTTTTGCCCAGTTCTGAGACTTTTAGGGATGAGGCCAGATCACCTCTACAGACTTAGATGTCTCAGCCTTTTTGCCTAGCTGATGAGACCTCTTCCAGAGAGAGGTTTGGACATTTGGCATCTCTTCTTCCCCAGGCTCCCTATTAGGTAGATTGAGTGTGGATATTAGTCTGGGATTCAGAAACTTCCTATAGTGGAGCCAAGATCCCAAAGAAAATAAGCAGGAGGCATACTCCACATAGAATCTGTTGTCATCACAGTCCCTGGCGAATGAAGCCTTTAGGGTACTTAACAGAGATTTTAGCGAAACAGCAGGTAGGCCTAAGCAGGTCACTGCTGGGTTTTTGTTTTATGCTGCAGACTTACCTATTCTTTTTTTCACCTAGCTCATATTCAAATCTTAAGCTATTCAGTCTTACTGATCAAATATGAGGAAAGACCAGCCAATGAAAAACACAGTAAGGCTGAGCAGGGGAAGGAGAGGGTCTTGATCTATGCGGCTTGTCTTTAGTCTTCCTAGGCAGGGTCAGTGATCCAGGAGGAGGCAGACCTAATCTCTCCTTCCCATAGCAGCCTCATGGGAAATGACAGTGGGAGAAGCAATACAAGAAGAGAATAACATCAAGTAGGAGACCAGGGCCTGAGACTGTGGCCTAGTAATAAATACCTTTCTCCTATTCATTCGTCTTGGTTCCATCTCAGGCAGAATGGAGGCAGGGAGGGAAGCAAGGGGCCTGCTGTAAGTCCCGGCCCTGCCAACAGGCCACACCTCTGGGAGGATATAGAAATGGCAGAATTAAATGAAGAATCGTACTTTACCTGCCATTTGTAACCTGTTTTTTTCCTACTGTATTTTTTAACAGTTTTACCACCTCTTTCAGCATTCTTTGATTTCATGCATGCACAGTATTCTATAATTTAGATTTACTAGTATTTTGTCAATCCCCCATCATCGAACACGTTATTTCCAGTTTCTTGCTGTTTTAAGTTATACTGTAATGAAGAGCCATGTGTATGAATCTTAAAATATGATATTGATTATTAATAATTACTTGGGAAACATTTTTAGAAGTAGATTTCCTGAGGTTGGGTTTAGAGGTTTAAAAAACAGCCTCCCAACCTGAGATTGTGTTGGAGTGAGGGCTCCATGGGGTCAGAACCACACCTGCCTGTTGGCACTGCACTTCCCAGCATCTAGCACAGTGCTCAGCATGCAGTAGGTGCTAGTACAAAAATATTTATTGAAGGGTCACACGAGTGTTTCCAGAGATGCCTGCACATCACAAAACTATGCATTGGTCTACAAAGGTTGCATGGGAGTAGAAAACTCCGAGAGGAATAGGAACAGTAATAAATGTATCCAGCGTTGAGGGCAAGCAAGGATTGTTTGCTGGGCTCACTGCCTAGGATTTTCTTTTTTTTCGTGTTTTGTGAATGCCACAGGCTGATGTTTCTTTTTTACTCCACCAGAGGGCAGTGTTCCAAGGATTATCACAGGAAGCATTGTCTGCCTGCATTCAGTCCTTACTCGGAGCATCAGAATCTATCAGCAAAAGAAAGGTTTGATTAAGTGTTAGGTGAAATCTTATTACCTGTTACAATGTTGTGGAATATAGTATTTACTTATAGGCACAGAAATTTAAAACCATTTTGGCAGTAGGATTTGTTGGTTTAGTATGATTGGATTTTGAGGCCCTGTGAGAGAAGCTAGTACTTCATTATAGTACTAAATAAAGACTACACTATGTAAGAGAATCCACTTTGCTAAAATACTAAAGATGGTACTTAGGGTAAAGGTCTCTTGTAGCCTTAGCACCTGGGGAAGTACTGCTGTTTCCCTGGAATACCAAGAAAGCATTTTCAAGGAAACGTAGCAATTCATAATCTTCCCCACAATGATGTTTGGATAGTTGAACAGCCTTGGAGGAAATGAGCCAGTCAATTTTGAGGACAATTGTGGCCCTTGGTTGTGTGACTATGTCATCATAGTCAGTTGCTGTGACTACGTGGCTTACAGTTTTTCATCCAGAAGGGATATGGGGCTGAAGGCTGCTGGCATGCGCTTCTCCCTTAGCCCCTGAGATTTTTGTTTTCAGGTCATGTAGAGCATGGTCAAAGGTGTTGCTCTGCTTAACTCGCCTCTTAAAATGCCTGTTGCCTACAGGGAGCGAGCCATGCGGGCTGTTTCTAGCCAGACTTTTATTGCTATTTGAAGTGTTCAAGCCCTCTGAACCATTTTTGAATTCTAGTTTACAAACTTGATTTCTAACTTCAAGACTTTAGATAAATTAAAAACAAAAATCTTCCCACAAAAGAATTTGGAATCTTGTTGCTGAAAAAGCTCTGCCTTTGTGACAACTATATTTTCCCATTCGCAGAATAGAGAGTTGAAATGAAATTTTTATGTGAAGACTAGAAATAAAGTTATAGATAGGAAGATTTAAGTTTTCAAAATATTACCAAGATTGAACTTTCACATTTTCGGTAGTGGGTGAAATTAGGAAACGTTGTCTAACATTAGAGAACTGGTTAAGTAAATTGTAGCATATTCCATAGAGTTGAATATTACACAGCCATTACATTTTTAAAAATGAAACAGTAAAATTTAACTTAAAACATGTTAAGGCAATAAAAAGCAGAATATAAATCAGATATAGAGTATAACTTTATGTAATAAAAAATGCATTGAAGAAAATACGTAATCATGAAAGCTTTTGGGTGGCTATGGATTATTTTTTCCCCATTCCCTACATATTTCTTTATTTCTCAGATTTTCTACAGTGAGCGTGTATTTCTTAGATCAGCAGGAGGAAAAAAGTGACCTAATTAAAAAACGATCATATGCTTATGTCATCTTTTACCACTGACCTCTCTTTTAAGGGAGGAGTGAAAAAGCCTTTTTCTTATTCAGTCTTTTGCCCTCATTATCTGTAGGCCATCCTCTTTTATCTAGTTCTGTTTCCTACGTATTATAAGGGGTTGGAGTATATTTGAGGAAGCCCTCAATTTGGTATACATTAGCTTATTTGTTTTCGTGGCTGAGTTTGTGTACTTTTGTCTTTCAACTTTTTAAAAGTGATCACTGAAAATAGGTTAGCGTCTTAAAGAGTTTTTCCAGTTTTTTAAGGCAAGAAATTGTTCTTACATACTTAAATTGAGCACCTAGTCTGTCAGCAAATCAGTATGATACTAAACATGGTAAACATGGTCCTAAAGCTGGATTACAACAGCTTTAGTAAAGCAAGTCAAATCTATATGATACTATTTTTGGCCTCAGAATTATTAGTTCCTTTAAAAATAAAGCAAGAATTCAGAATATATAGCATTTCCTACTTATCTCATAGTCTGTGTTTCAGAATGCAAAGTGAATTTCCATCACATAAGTCATACTTACATTGATTATGTTTATTAGAAGGGGAGAGAGAGAGAGAGAGAGAGAGACTAGGGAGGACTCACTTTGTTTAATAACCCATTTAAAATTTATATTACTTACTGAAAGATAACTTTATCTTTTCCTAATGTAGTATAAAAAATTTCATTAGAAATATTTTCAGAATAAGACTCTGTCTTGAGTAGCAGCAAGAAGCAGCAAATATAGCCTTGTTCTTAGTAATATAAAGACTCTTTCCTGAAATGAGAGCTATGAATATTCACTATTTTGGGATTGGGTCTGAACTTTGAGAACTGAGCTGGAATCATAAGACTCTTGTGGATAGGTCCTGAGAGGGCAAAAGGACACGCAGGAACCTCAGGGGTGTAGCTAGTCAGTGCTATGTTGGTGGCAGGATAATCCAAAATGGTAACTCAAATCAGTTTACATATGGGGGCTCCTTTTGTACTTTTGTATAAATATGAATATGTTTGGTGTTTAGTGTATTGAAACTGCTTTAACCAAATAGTGAAAGCCTTGTTCCTGAAGAACGAGAAAGCCAAGAGAGGTTAGAATCATGCTCATTCTTTGAGCCTTTCTTTTCCTCCTCCTTTGTGCTGTTAGGCTGTATCATCTCTTCTACCTCTGCACCAGGTTGAAATAGATGTGACCTCTATTTCTAAATGTGTTGCTTTACAGCCTTTTGTCTGACTTACTTCCTTGGATTTCCTAAGTAGAGCAGGTGACAGTGCTAATAAGGGTTTGAAGCAAGATTTTTCCAGGTAATTCTAAACATGGGGAGAATTCATTGCACAACAAAGGAGTATTGGCGCACCATAAGACCATAAACCTAGGCAGATTAGTGTTGATTAATAGCATGTGTTTTATTTGCTTCTGTTTTGACTTAATCTGTGATCATATCCATTTTTCTTTCTTACAATTTAGACTCAGATCGATGGACAACTTTTCTTAATTAAGCACCTTTTGATTCTTCGAGAACAAATTGCTCCATTTCACACTGAATTCACCATTAAGGAAATTTCCCTGGACCTCAAGAAAACTAGAGGTACTTCATTGTCCTGGCTGGCACAGTTGGATGTGTTTTACCTGTCCAGATGTGTCAGCACAGGTTTTAGGTTTATTTTATGTTCATCTGCAATTTTTTTTTGCATGCTTTGCTTGCTAAATATATTACTTGTTTATACTAAGCTGAGCTGTCAACATCCTAATTACTGCTAACTTGCTATATTTTCTTTCTGAAGTGAGCTATATTTGTAATATAGCATTACCTCTCTTAGACTCTGCTACATATTACTGTAACCAGTTAAAAAATGAAAAATCAGTATAATAACTGTTTTCTAAGTAAGTAGTAAATGTTAGCTAATTTGGATGATTTTAAATATTGAGTTGAGTTTGTCAATTTTTGAAAATTCAGGAAGCCAGCTGGGTAAAATGGGAAGAGTACTTAGCTAAGAATTTGAAAGAGTTGGGTTTTGTTCCTGTTTCATCATTTCCTGGCTCTTGTGTGATCTTAGCTGGGTGTTTTAGCTTCCCTATCCCACCTTCTTCCTAGGTAAAAATGAGCATAATCAACTTGTTATGATACCTTCACCAGGTTATCAAGATCATTAAAAATGAAAATGAATGAAAATGTGTGTTAAAGTGCTTTGTAAGTCTCAGGTGCTTAAATAAACAAGTGGTATAATTGTTAAATCAGCTGGTTGTTAAGTAATCATGTAGCTAAGGTTCTTGGGTTGGTAGTAGACATCACTGAATCAAGATGATTCATGCATCCTAATGATTTGTCTCTGAATTAACAAGAGAGATGATTTCTATGAGATCAAAGTAACTTTCTAAAATGTTGATCTTAAGCAGTTAAGGATATACCATAAACTTCCCTCATTTCTCTTAATTACTTTCAAATTCATGTAAATTTTCTTAATCATTTCCAAGAGATTTCAGGTCTGATAACTTGAGTCACTGGTTTATGTAATCAGTTACTTCTCTGTAACATATTTGGGCAATTGAGAAAATAGTCACTCAAATTATTTTCTGTGTTCTGTGGTCCAGAGGAACCCCAATGTAGGATTTTCAAGGGTAGCAGGATTTTACTTTTCCAATTACTGTGCTTAGTCGATAGTGGACTTGATTTAATTCACCTGAGAGCCAACAGAACTTCATCATGAGACATGAAAACATTTTGCTCTTTTTCTTTTCTTAATGCTCTCTCATGTTCATCACAGACAATGCGTTTTGCTGCTATAACGCTTGTGTGTTATTCATGTGCTTTGTGTTTTTTTTTTTTTTAACAGGAACCAGATTTCCTGGTTTTTGCCTCTACAGAATACATACTTTTTAAAAAGCTTATTCTCACCAGAGGTTTCCATCTCGCAGCCATTCTGGTTGATTTCCTTCTTTCCCTTTAGTGTGAAGTGTGGGAATGATGCTCTTACCTTGAAGAATTCCCAGAGCCTGAAAGTCCTCACTTTATTTAAGTGATACGATAGAGCAGGATTGATTTACTTTCTTTCATTTTTTTCTGGTTCATAATCTCTTGCTCCTTAATTCTAGTGTAGGTCAACTGAGGTGTGAGAAAATAAAATGTCCTAAAATTGTGGCAAAATTTGGTTTAAAGTATGTTTCTCCCCAAATATTATGAAGCTAATATAACCCTACCATATGGTAACTTGATTCTGTTTATTGCAGGCAGAATCTTTCAGGTGTCTTGTAGAAAAGATAGCAGGCACAAAGAGCCATTTACTAATGGCTAAATACTAAATACTAAACTGATAAAGAGAGATTTTTTTTCATTAAGACCAGGGTCAAGGCAGTAAGTATTATGGTGATGTGTGCTTGCAAAACCAGCATTGGAAGCATTTCATGCTTTGCTTTCTCCAGTCTGGCAAACCAAAGCAAATAAATAAATGGTCTTTTCTTACTATCACTTAATAATACTTGCTATCTTTACTTTTAAACCTCTAACCTCTCATGACTAACGTTATATCTTATTGCATTTGAACATCAATGAGACCTCAGCTAGTACTTTGCATAGATTCTAGTTAGTCTGGAGGTTAAGGGGTAATATGTCCTTTTGGTGTTTTCTTCCTGCCTGACACATTAGTTTATTCACTCTGCTTCAAGTGAATAAATTTCTGTGCCAGCCAGGATCTTAACAAATAAGCTGGGTAAGTATGTGAGTATTTTTTAAAAGCTTATTTAACATCCTACAAGTAAGGCAGTGAAATTAAGTGTCAGTTGCCATTTATCATTTTTCTTTTTTCTGTAAGTGAATAATTGAGATTAATAGTCATTTTGCAATGCCAACTACTAGCGAATAACTCTGTGTGGGCGCTGTAGCCATCATTGGCCTTCATCTCACTCATCCTTTCGTGGAGGCGAGTTGGTGAAGATGAAATGGCTCTTTGCTTGTGGTGGTAGAGAACTAGTGTGCGTTACACATGGCTTCTCTGTTGAAACTGTACATGTTCACTGGATGAGTAATTTTGTTTCACAGATGCAGCATTTAAAATCCTGAACCCTATGACTGTTCCAAGATTTTTTAGGCTGAATAGCAACAATGCCTTGATAGAGTTCTTGTTGGAGGTGAGAAGGAGTCTGTTTCATTGGTGGTGGGAGATAAAGGACATTCTTTACACATCTGGTAATTTCTAGTCACATAAAAACAGGAAGAAATTGTCATCTTCTTTTTAAGGGTACTCCTGAGATAAGAGAACATTATCTTGACTCTAAAAAAGACGTAGACCGTCATCTGAAGTCGGCCTGTGAGCAGTTTATTCAGCAGCAGACCAAGCTGTTTGTAGAACAGCTGGAGGAGTTCATGACAAAGGTATATGCCTTGGTGCCTATTTGGTAAAGTTATTTTGCTTTCTTCTTTAGATTTCCTTTTGAATTACCCTCTTGTGAAAACTGACAGAAGGAGATAGTAAGCCCACATCTTAATGATTCTGTCTAGGAAATCACCATGTTTCCTCTAATGGAAGCTTTTGGTTTATGGATTTTCAGATATGCTTGCAGAGCTTTTGTTTTTAAGAGGAAGAGTGCAAATATTGCAAAGCTAGTTACAGCTGACCCTGGGTTAGCTATGTTGTGTTTATGCACATTGTAGGTTATCTGCATGTGGACTGGGACCCTCACCTTCTCCTGGACCTACATGGCAACAGTCACAGTCACCTGTTACTTACAATGGGTGATTTATTTTCCTCCTTGTTTTATAACAGTATTTCTCTCTTCCATTTTGCACGGATAATTGACAGTTGAAGATTTTATATCATAGCATTGTTAACCACCAGATATATGGATTTAACATACAATACAATCAGTCCTCACTTAACATTGGCAATAGGTGTTGACTGTGACTTTAAGTCAAACTACATAGAACGAAACCAAGTTTTTTTCCCTCATCAGTGTTACAGTGAAATGACGTTATCTGAAGACATGCTATATGTCGTTTCATTTAAAGTCACAGTTTCCAAGAACCTATCACTTTAAGTGAGGACTGACTATATAAGTGGATATTACTGTCTGTCTATCTCTCTGTCTCCTAAGCTAAAATCTGTCAGCTGGTGAGTACTGGAGAAGAAAAAAGCATATCATGGCTATTTCAACATTCTCTTTTCAACCTAATCAGTTTTTTGAAATTTAAATGTCATTATTAAGGACTTAAAGACGTTTAAAAAGTCTTGAATTTAACTTTCATTCATTAAGCCTCTGCTATATACCCCAGTCTTGTATTAGAGGACATCATTAAAAAGAATAAAAATATGATGGCCCCTTTTCTCAAATTTGACTCGTCTTAACTGGGCAGACAAGGTGTATCTGTGAAACAACCAGGAGGCAGCTTATAAGCAAATTGTTCATTGATATCTTGCTGCTGAGTCCAGCAACCCTAATATGCCTGAAGCCTGTGATAAAGACAGAAGATACTAGTTTTAAAAAATAATAAAGAAGACCCAAAATACAAATATAGAAATATGAAATAAAACAAACTACTCTTTTGTTTATCATTGATGTATGTTACTTGCTTAGTGGTTTTAGTCTATTCACTCCAAATATTTGGAATGTATGTGTATATGTGTGGCTTTTTTTCCCACCACAAACATTTAAAAGGAGGGTGGTGGAAATGTTTTCTACCAGGTTTTGATTTTTAAAAAATGGTATACGTATTGATACTTTGTAATTTATAGATAATTATAGTTTTCACTGAAATTATCCTTGTAGAAAACCATCTAGTAGATTGTAATATGTATTTCTGGGAGAGGATCCACATTAATGCTGGTGGAAAATATTATAGATCAATATTGTACAACAACAGAACAGCAGAATGAATCTTCCGAAATAAACAAGTTGATTATAATAAAATCTAGGATTAAAGGGTTCTAGAACAGTGCAGTTTTTCTAGAAATCAAGAGAATCAAAATTCACTGATACAGTTGTCCAAGTTGACCTTAGTATAATGGTAAATCTGGTGTAACTCTGCAACTGTACATTTTGGAAGACACCAGATACTATAAACATTTAAAAAGGAAATAGCCAGGAATGGTGGCACACACCTGTAGTCCCAACTACTTGGGAGGTTGAGGCCACAGCCTCAGGAGTTTTGAGGCTGCAGTGAGCTGTGATTGTGCCACTGTACTGCAGTATGGGCCACAGAGTAAGACCCTATCTTTAAATAAATAGACAGACAGACAGATAGATAGATAGAGAGTGGTTTATATAGAAAATCTTCCACCAAGTCTGAATAATAAAATAGTTCTCTGTGGACATGCTACACATGTATAACAGGGATCCCTGAACAGCTCATGGACCTCTTTGGACCTCTTTTTATACTCCCTTCACTATGGGGTTGGGAAGGGAGGGGCCTTGCCTCTCATCATGGAGAGGCCAGTCTCATCCCACCCCAACAGTCTGTGCCGCCCTTGTTGAGACCACTTGCAGTTGCTTCACTTTTCCTCTTTCAACTCAGGTTCCTCACTGCTGCTCAGTGAGTTTCTAAGGACTGAGCATCCCTTTTCTTGTTGTCTTATTCCAAATTCAGGTCTCTTCCTGTCCTGTTGACACAGAGTCAAAGATGCATGTGCGTACACACACACACACACACACACACACACACACACACACATGCACTAGGGTTCACAGATGTATGTGTTCATTTAAGATATTGCATCTTAGAACTTGTGGACCGTTTTTCACTTTTTACCTGGTGATTGTTATTAGCATTCTGAATAGCAGAGAAAAGGTAAAAGTTTTTAAAACTTTAAAATGATTTTCTTCATTTCCTCAGCATTAATCACCTACAAGTGCAGAGTCTCGTGCCTTTTTTTTAGTTAGCATTTTATAAGGCAACTTGTGCTTGTGCCATTATGAATGATTGCAGGAAAAACAACACCCATAGGTACAGAAAAGGAAACATTTCATTTTTCATTTGGATGTATGTTTTTAGGTCCCAGTATTTACCATTAGGATGTAAGCCTCATCAACAAAATGTCCTCAGCCTGTTTGTCAGTTCAGACTGATTTTTTAAAATGTATATGGATTGACATAATAAACCATGTTCAGTGCATAGAGAACATTTTTAGGTTGTCAGAAGACTTGTTTTTGAGCCTAAAGACTTGGGGTATAATTCTGATCCCCTTCATTTACTTCAAATTGGCTTTTTTGTTTATGTAGCTTCTTTCTTGGCTCTTCTGGGTGAGATGCTTCCTTTTCATTAATTCTTACTACACCTCTGGTACCTGGAGTAAGGGAAGAATCTTCATTTCACAGGTTGAGAAATTAAAGTTTTGCAGAGTGTCCGAGTGTACATGAGTTTTCTACAACATCTTCACCCATCTAGTTTCTTCCTGATTTTTGGTATAATTAATGGTCTTTCCTGAGAAAAATAAAATAAATACTATTAACAGAAGAACATATATGCTCTATTGCCTCATTCCATGCCCCTGGAAAAACCTTTCCTTCCAACTATTAATATTTGAATGGCCCGAGGGAATATAATACTATTGCAGGTGTTGGGGGTAGACGTTCATAGGAAAACATTTGGCTCAGATTATTTTCTATCAGACATCAAAAGTTGTTGATACTTTTTTATTGTTCTAGAATTCCATTGTGCTGAATATTGCTTGAAACAAACTCTTACTTAGCAGGTGTAGTAGAAAGAGCCCTGGGTCCCCTTCTTGATCTGACTGAAATTGTTGGCCAATCAGTTTCTCCAAGCCTTGGGTTTCTAATCTCTGTGGTGAGGAGAGATCTAGCATCCATCCTCCCTGTGTGCAGTTACTGTGAGGACCAGGGAAGGGCATATGTGTAAAAGAACATTGTAACTGTAAAATGCTGCAAAAATGTTATTTTATAGCAAAATATGAAATTTGAGCTGAAGATTTTGCCTAAGCGAAAAATATAAATTAAGGCATTTTAAAGGAAGTATAACTTCAGGTTTCTAGCTAAGCTAAAAGTGTTTTCTTCTGGTAGGACCGGTTTATGCTAAAAACTCAAACTTATATGTAAAACATATTTATTTTCCTTCAAGCAATTTGATAAAGTATTACAAGTTTATTCTTAATATTCCCTCTGAAGTGTTAACAGTTTCCTCAGTAACACTATAAATTTAAATTTTTTTCTTCATGTAGTGCATATAATAGAATTTGACCTATAAATTTAATTCCTGCTTTCAAGGAGGTATAACCTAAAGGAAAAGCAAGATAGACAAATATGTAAATATTAAACTTCCTACAGCAATGTCATTGTGAGACAGTGGGTCTTTGTTCATTGTGTAGGGTTTTAAAAAAAGGTGGGACTAATTAGGGAAAACTTTTGAAGAAAATGCTCCTTGAGGTTTGACTTAAAGATAAGTAAATTATCTGGGTAGCAATTAGAGATGTATACAGGTTTGTATTTGTTTTTAATATGAGAATAGTTGTAAACAGCCTAAATATATGTCTTTGTGAAATTGGTTAAATTCTGGAGCAATTAATGAAACAGGAAACAGCCATTACTTTGAAGCTGTTAGACATGGAAAAATGATCAGAATATAGATTTAAGTGGGGAAAAAACTTCACAGAACTTTGTGTTCCCATTTTAGTAAATGTGTACACAATATATTTATATTTTTACGTCGGAAAACATTTAGGACAATATACACTAAAGTGTGAATGTGTTTTCCTTTCATCAGTGTCTAAAAATCTCTAGTCATATATATGATTTGTTTTTAAAAGCTGCATCTCACAGTAAAAAAAAGGCATGGGGAGGAATGGAGTGAGAGGAAGAAAGGTTTGATTTTATACACGTGTGCGGTGAGAGCAAAGGCCTGGAGTGGTCCAGGAACAGAAGTAGAAACTAGAAATAAAGTAGAAATGGAGAGAAGGCTGTAGAGATTTGAGTTAGCATTAACTCAGATCTGTCTCTGCCCATCCTCTGCATAAATATTTGTGTGAGAAATCTGAAGAGTTGGTGCTCAAGTTTTTCTAATGAGACTTTCCAGTGAGACCGAGGCCAAGGCCATGGCCTGGATCTTTGGGACATGACTGTCCATTTAATAAAAATACTTTATGCAATTTCTGTCTCTCTCCCTCCCCAGCTACCCCTTATCTTCACCACAGTTTACTATCTTAGTCTTGCCCAAGCAGCTGTGGTGACACTTTTCTAGTAACATATGATAATTTAATATTAACATAACAGCCAAATTAAAACAGACCTGGTTTGTGTTGACATTTCTCTGGGGCTTCATTTTTGTTTCCCTGTTCTGCAATGTTTCAGGCAGAATACCTCAGGACTTTGGTATGGTTTTTTGCAAGATAACATATGCCTTGGAATCACAAAAGAAGTTGTGCTAAAAAATGTCATTAGCTGTAAAAGATACAACAGATTTTTGTCATCATTTGATTATCATTCTGTTTTAATAGGCTTAAATGGTGTTGAGTATCCTGTGAGAGCAGTACCAGTCTGATTTGTCATTGGTGAAATGAAACTTTTTTCTCTTTGTCTCCTCTACTAGGTTTCGGCATTAAAAACAATGGCCAGTCAGGGAGGCCCCAAATATACTCTCTCACAGCAGCCTTGGGCACAACCAGGTATTCTGATTTTACTATTTTGGATTTCTTTTTTAGGATGTTATTAATTTGCATTTATATAGTCCTTTCTGTGACAGCTTGCAGTTGGTTTCCTACTCACTCTGGGGTGCTACGATCTCAGTTAATGCAATCTGAGTTAGTGCCGATTCAGTTCAGTTCGGAGCTGACAGGTCTTAATTGGCCAGCACTACTCGCATTTCAACAAGCATTCCAAGGAAGGAAGAATTTAAAAAAAAATTAGTTAAAAATGAAAATGGCTTAGATGGAAACACTTTGAGTCTGCTGATTTCTGTACACTCGCTGTTCATTGTGTTTGAGCTTTGATGAAAATTCTGTTTGACAGGATGAAATTATGGAGAGAGTATATGTATTTTCAATTATATGAAGAAATGTTAGGCCACTGTTTTGTTCCACATTTTATTCAAGTTACATCATCTGTTGACGTTCTAGAGTGTTTGGGAAAAAATTGTAAAAATTGAGGTTTGGGAGTTGGCGGGCAATATTATTTTCTGATTGGCAGATGTATTTGAGATGTTCCCAATCTTACTGTTTCTTTTTTTTTTTTTTTGAGACAGAGTCTCACTCTCTTGCCTGGGGCGAGTGCCGTGGCGTCATCCTAGCTCACAGCAACCTCAAATTCCTGGGCTCAAGCGATCCTACTGTCTCAGCCTCCCGAGTAGCTGGGACGACAGGCATGCGCTACCATGGCCGGCTAATTTTTTCTGTATATATTTTAGCTGTCCAATTAATTTCTTTCTATTTTTGGTAGAGACGGGGTCTCGCTCTTGCTCAGGCTGGTCTCGAACTCCTGAGCTCAGAACGATCCGCCCGCCTCGGCCTCCCAGAGTGCTAGGATTACAGACGTGAGCCACCGCGCCCGGCCCCAATCTTACTGTTTCTTAAATGTAAATTTTTTTTGTGCTAGAGGATTTTTTTTTGGTCTTTAGCATTAGACATTTAAAATCATAACTAACTTTGTGGGTTATTTTTGGTATGTTTTGTAGCATTTTAAGTTGCCATTAAACCAGAATAAATCATTTTGTTAAATTGGTATTTCTGGCCATCCCCTGGCCCATGCTGTGATAGAGATCCTTTGAAACTAAAAAGGGCAAAATGGTGTAAGAATCAGTGTTTTAATTATGGGTAAGCTGTGTCCAAGTTGGAGTGCAGCTTTTCACTCATAATGAGAGAGACCAAAAAATGATTCTGGCTTTACATCCATGTAAAATTGGCTGTCTCCAGGCATCTAATCTGGAGTCAACTTTTTAATATGATTGGTTTTCCATATTGAAAGAATCTTATATCTGTCAGGTATTCATTTCCTTTGGGAAGAAGGATTGAAGCCGTTCTAAGCCTCCAAAGTGTTCATTTATTATTAATGCTTCAGGTTAATGTGAAGTTGAACTGAGAAGTTAAAAGAGTAGCTATATTGTATCTCTTAGTAGACAGTTGTCAGTTGTCTTGGAAAGGAAGATAGGATTTTATTTCAGAGATTCCTCATGTGAACTTTGATGATGTCAATACAGCTTTGAATATGATTTATTATATTGAAAACAAACTTGGTGACATGTCTCAGGCCTTTTGTTTACTGTGATGGAGACAGGGAATGTTCTATTTTATTATTTTAAACATTTGTGTTGCATGTGGACTTGAATCTTTGACATCTTACTAAAAGAGCACGCTTGATGCAGTAGTACATTCTGTCAGAAGACAGAAAATCAGATTCTTACTGACAATACTGGAAATTCTAATCATAGGCTCTTGTAGTGTTAACTAGTTAGTCTGATTCCTCACAGTCAAGAAGCAGACTTTTCAGTTCATAACTCAGCATGGCTCTTGAAGGAATTCTAATGGTCTTTGGATTAATTGGAGCCTTTGGCTCAAGGTTCTAGTTGCTTTTGTAGGGCTTATTTAGAAATGGGAGCTGATTTTTATTTTGAACGTTTATGTAAATGAAACTCTTGGTTGCAATAAATCTTTCTTAAAATAGGTAGAAACCAGCAAAAGGCATAGGCATATTTAGTATAGCTAAGCCAAGGCTCTTGATGCATAATTAACGCATTGTCCTTTCCCCTTTGGAAAGATCTGTTCTCTCAAAATAGGGGCTGTCATTTTCTCAAGTGCAACCCTAATAGAATTCACAGTGTTAGGTGTATTGTGCTCTTGAGCACTACTAGAATTGTCATTAGTAAAGCAGTAGTTAAAAGGAAACTGACAAAAGGACAGATTGAAATAGGCCTTGCTGTTTTGTCACTGAATCCATTTCCTTTCTTTCTAGGTGAGAAGATCTTAGTGAATATAGCAATGACAGTTTCATTTTATTTTTTATGTAGTAGTTGTGTCTTCTCTACCATTTAGCCACAGCAGAGGTGTGGAGTTGATTTTTCTTGATCTGTTATATTTGAAGCCCACACTTACATATCAAAGAGAGATTTATGGGCCTCTTGGGGTAGGAGCATGGAGGATAATCTAGGAGCTGTCTTGGGCCCCTCTGCCCTGGAAACCCAGGATTACTAGTTCATGCATACTTGGGCAGGTTCTTGGGCATCACTTCATCATAAACAAACTCACAGGGCAGTGAATTATATTAAGATGCTCAATTGTTAATTTACTCTGAGACTCTACCCTTTTTAGGAATTAGAGGACACGTCATTCGCTAGCCTGCACACCCGCTTTCTGGTTATCAAGGGCTCTGAAAACTGATATAGTGATCCCTGGTGAAGTGTGTTAGTGATAATAGAACCAGAGCCCATGGAAGTGAATGCCTTGAAGGAGCTTTTATCTTTTTTATGAAAAATAAGCAATTTCTGGAGTTGTTTGTTCTTTCTTTTTGAGGACGTTGGCACTTTCTTACCCTGCTTTACCATAACTCTCCTCAATTTTAAAAAATATATTTTTACATGGTATAAAATTTGAACTGTGAAAAAGTATAAAATGAAAAGTAGTTATATTTTCCACCTCCAAACTAGTCTTTCTCTCAAAGGTAACTGTTATTACAGTTTCTTTCCCAAAATTGTTGATGTATATACTAGCATATGTGACTTAAAAAAATGTTATCCAAATGAGATTGTACTATTCCCCTTGCTTTTTTTATTTATGTATACTGGAGCCTTTCTATAGCAGCACATCCAGCTCTATCCATTCTGTTGGATACATAGAATGCATCACTATAGCATGATTTCTTTTGTAATTCTATGAATTTGAATTATTTTCAGTTGTTTTTCCATATACTCTTTAATAAGTGTTACTATGCACACACATCTTGGTATTTTATGGGTATTTTATGAGTATATCCATTGGGTAAATTACTAGCAGTAGAAATGTTAGGGGAAAGAATATGTGTGTTTTTAGTTTTTCTAGATATTGCCTAATATTCCTCCAAAGAGGGTGAACTGTTTTATAATCCCTTCAACAGTGATAAAGATGCTTGTTTCCCTACACCCTTGTCAAACATGGATATCCACAATCTTAGTAATTTTTGCCAATCTGTAAATATCTCACTGTTTTAAATTTGCATTTCTTTAATTATGAGTGAAGTTGAGCATCTTTGAAATTATTAATCACCTTTTCTTTGTAGCTTTCTAGGTAATTTCTTCTTTTAAATACTTTATACAGATTACTACTCTTTCTTTTCCCTGTAGCTCCTTCAGACACTGCATGGGGTTACAGTTATTTTAGTTACAGTTTTCTGGAATTCTGTTCTCTTTCTGATAATATAGTATAAGAATGTAACAAATGGATATTTAGTTCCCTTCACATATGTGTGGATATTTTCTGAATGATCTAAGCAAGATGGTTAGAGAGCATCCCTTACTGTGAGTCAGTTCTACAAATGAATAAACTCATTCATTATGAAGTAATTCTTCCTAGTGTCTCTCTGAAAATGACTTTTTGTTTGTAACCTTAATCTCTTATCTCCGAATTCCAAAGGCACATATTGTAGCCCCTATGAATGTCACGAAACATGCTGGGGGAGGTTTTTTTTTGCTATCTAGCCCTCGGGATTAGAATTTTGTATATAGTAGATATTTAATGAATGTTTATAGGGCTTGTGATTAAATTTGATAAATTAACTAGAAAAATGAAAGAAATTCTTTGGGGAAATAAGGAGTCTTTTCTTTTGCCTTTTTTTTTTTCCTCCCTTATTCCCCTCTGAATTAAAATGGAAATGTTTCTTCTCTTTTTCTTTGTGACACTAACGAGGTTAATTTCTTTCCAGCAAAGGTTAGTGACCTTGTGGCAACTGCCTATAAGACAATAAAAACAAAGCTGCCTGAGACATTGAGAAGTATGTCCTTGTACCTCTCCAATCAAGACACCGAGTTCATCTTGTTTAAACCTGTTAGGGTGAGTATCATGATAACTTATTTGAATGTTGACCAGCGACTAAGTGTTCTTGCCTCATCTACCATTTTCTCTTGCCGAAAACATTTAGACATGTTGATATAGTAGTCTAGTGAAGTTCATTAATATTTGCTATGATTCTTGAAAGGCTTACAAAGCCTGCATCAGTCTGATTATATCTTTTCTTTTTCACTTTCACTTTGTCTTAAGTTTTTTTGTTATCTCTGAAAGTAGAAATTAGTAAATAAACAAAACAAAACAAAACGAAATCAGACCCTTACAATGTATGTGGCCCAACACTCAAGAGAGCAGCATTTCAGGAATTATGCCCCATTTTACTGGTGAGTAGTAGAAATAAATGGCTTGTAGTGGTCACCAAGGGATTAAATGTCAGAGCAAATTTAGGACTCATAACTTCCAGTTCTCTGTTGAGCTCACATCTTTACCCAAGGCGTTGGTTGATTTTTAAAGTGCATTTTATATGTCTGGGAACTTTATTATCTTTTGTGTAAGAAATTGCTGCTGAAGTCTCTTATTATTCTCTGGGGGAACAGGGCTTGCTAGAGTTTAGTTTTTCCAGGAAGTATTATCTGATAAGTCTTCATCAGGTTGTGCCGGCATGCAAAATATTAAGTGCAAGTTATAAATCTTTGGTAATATGATGAAAGATATATTTCCTCTACTCATTTTGGCAAATAACATTACTATTTAACATTCATAGTGCTTCTTTAAGATAACTGTATAGTGTTTCATGTTTAAGATGACTCATATGACATGATCTCCTCTCCTTCTTTATAAGAATAATATTCAGCAAGTCTTCCAGAAGTTGCATGTTCTGTTAAAGGAAGAGTTCAGCCCTACTGACATCCAGGTCATTTCTTGTCCTTCTATGGAACAGGTAATCCACAGACTGAACATCCTTTTTACTTCTATGTCCCCTTGGGTATTTTACTTAAGTAGAAAATGTCTTTGGGCAAATGTATTTTTAGTTTTAAAAATTGTACATTATTTTATTCTGATGAGCAAGAATTCGAACTTTGAATTATTTTCTCAAACTTTTGGGGATGGTTTTAGAATTTTCAGTTGCTTTTTAATCCTTTCTGGTATTGAATATTGCTGTATTTAAGATGAATACGTGTTTGTGAAAGACTCAAATGGTGGCAAGTAGCTTGCTGAATACTTTTGTTTAAAATCTTGCAATAAGAGCCCCAAATTTCAAATGAAAAAAATCGAAGTTATTGAATAGCCATTATGTATTAGGAGTAGCCCAGAGCTGTGGAGGATATTTTATTTCTGGTCTTAAGTTTAGTATAGTTTAGAAATTTAGTATATGGTAAGGACTAGAGAGTGTTGGGGGGAGCGGTCAGGCTAGTGAGAGGCTGACTGAAGCGGGTAGAGCCTCGGGGAGAAGAACTGGTGATGGTGAGTGTGGATACGTCTAGTGGGGAGGAGGAAGATGGGATGGGAGCTGGAGGGGGCTCATTTTGTTCGTTTACCTGAGAAACAGGTATGGGGGGGCATTTTTAAATCGAGATATAATTCATATACCATAAAATTCACCCTTTTCAAGTGTAGAGGTCAGTTGTTTTTAGTATATGCACAAAGGGGAAGGCTGGGCGTGTGGGCACAGATGTGGGCGGTGGTGGATGTGATGGGAGCCGGTGGAGACCTTCCTGAGTGCTTCCCGTTTCTGAGTGACAAGAAGCAGGGTCATTGCTGAGAGGGGGGAGGGGAGGAAGTGCTAGAGGTTTGAGGGGTGAGTTCAGTGGTTATGAATCCAAGGGAGACCATTCACCCGAGTTGTCTGATTTTCTTTTTACTCCAGTTATAGTCAGTTGCATGAATGTAGATGTAGAGTAGCTGTATCATACGATCCAATGTATGGCAGTACGCATTTTTGTGTAAGTTTATTTTGTTATAATTTCAAACTTACAGAAAAGATGCGAGAATGGTATGAGGAGCTCCCACATATCCTTTCCCTAATTTACGTTTAGCTTCATTTGCTTTATTCTCACTTGCTCTCCCACCCCTCACCCCCTGTTAAGTCATTGGAGAGGAAGTTGGGAGACATTGTGCTGCCGTACGCCTAAATAATTCAGAGTATATTTCCTAGGAACAAAGGAATTCTCTTACACTACTCCCATACAGTTATCAAAACAGGAGACTAGATGTTGATTTAGTGTCGAATCCGCAGTTCATATTCACGTTTTATCAACGTGCCAGGAATGTCCTTTATAGATTCGTCCCGCAGTCCCGGACCGGTCCCAGATTATGCGTTGCTGTCAGGTGTCACGCCTCTTTAGTTTCTTTTAACCTGCACGGTTCCATGGCCTTTCTTGACCTTGACAGGCCAGTTATTTTGTATCCTCCTTCTGGCAGCACAGATTTTTAAAAGAGATTGGGGGGAAGATCTTGATTACCAAAGCAGTTGTACCACATAGAAGGGTTCACAGCCAGGTCTATTTACCTGCAAGTCCCCTGGGCCTGGGTGACAGATGCTCAGTGTGCAGGCTGCCATTCCGCTCCTGTCACCACCATGACCTGGCTCCTGGTGTTCCCAGCCCTCCTTTACAGAGTGGGCAGGTCCCTCCTGCAGTTGGTCAGAGTTGGTGTGTGAGCTGAAATTCACTTGTCATGCCTATTCTTTTTTTTTGAGACAGAGTCTCACTCTGTTACCCGGGCTAGAGTGAGTGCCGTGGCATCAGCCTAGCTCACAGCAACCTCAAACTCCTGGGCTCAAGCAATCCTACTGCCTCAGCCTCCCGGTAGCTGGGACTACAGACATGCGCCACCATGCCCGGCTAATTTTTTCTATATATTTTTAGTTGTCCGATTAATTTCTTTCTATTTTTAGTAGAGACGGGGTCTCGCTCTTGCTAAGGCTGGTTTCTGAACTCCTGAGCTCAAACAATCCGCCCGCCTCAGCCTCCCAGAGAGCTAGGATTACAGGCGTGAGCCACCGCGCCTGGCCATGTCATGCCTATTCTTGAGCATTTAAAAAAGTCATTTAAAGAATTCATCTTATACACAGTTCTCCTCCCAACACACTTTGCATCGAACAAGGTGCGATTATATAGACATATTTCTGTCATTTGTTAGTGTTTGTATATAGTTTTGCCATCATCTTCACTGAATTTTAAATGATTGACAGCCTAGATTCGGGGATGGAGGGTCACTCTCCACAGGGCCTCCAAATGCTCAGTGCCCAGTGGTGGCTTCAGAAACAGACCAGCATTGTGGGTCCACTTATACTTTACAGTCATGTTTATTGGTCTCATAAAAATCTTCATCTTTTTCTCATTCTGTTTTTGAGGCTCTAAACAACTTTTCTTGAGGATGGTATTCCGTAGGAGAACTAACCTAGCTCTTAACTTTGCTTTTCAGCTGAGCCTTGTGCTGTTGGTTTCTAAGTAAGCAGGCCAGTCGGGCTGTGCGCATACATGGTCTGTCTGGGAGGAGAGGGCTGAAAAGTCTTGCAGCCTGCAGGACACCGAGGAATGTGGGAATGTCCCCGATAACCACACGAGCATGCTGCTCAGTGCTGACTGCGGAATGAAATACGGGCAGAGCGTTAAGAGATCGGTGTTTCCCTTTAACGAGCATCAAAATGCCAAAGATTAATCTGTGAGTGGTGATAACTGCCTCATTTATTTAAATGGTCACAAGAAATGTAAATTTTTAAGAGATAGCTGTGGCAGCACACAGTGAAATTGTTCCTTGCTAAAGATGTGCAATGAAAATAGGTTACAATAAGTAGTGCAAAGAACTTTACAGAGATACAGCTAATTAGAAAGCTTCTAAGAGTAAGGTTTGCTAAAATGTGAAACACTGTAACACTTTTAACCACTGAGCATTCCACAGTGACTATATTTTTTATTCCCAGAAATACAATTTCTACACTCCATTTAGTGTGTAGTGTTTCTCCTATCATTTTGAAGTTTAGTTTGGAATACATTGGTTGCTTCTGAGAACAGATTCTGCTTTTCTGGGAACTCAGGGTGTTATCTTTCTCTCTGTTTGATGTGAAGTAGTTTAAAGATGCAAGGACCTGCTGCAAGACTCCAGTGTCTGCACTCCCTGAGCTGCTGAGGTACAGGACGTTCCGAAGTGGGGCTCGGGTTTCCTCATGGCAGATATGTGCAGTATCTTTAATGAGGATCTTCATGGTACAATAGTCAGTGTTTGTGAGTGCAGAGTACCAATTACGTGTCTTAAATCTGGCACATAAAGGAGAGAAGGAAACCTGAAGAATAGTGTGTCTCATGAATTAAAATAAGGGTTACCGGCCTCTGTACACTGCCTTTGGTCTTAGCGGTTCTTTGAAAAGCAAACGCTTTCATGTCCTGTCTGTGCATTCAGCTGGCGGTGATGCGTTCCAGCCTTGTGGGTCTCCAGCCCTGCTACCGCAGAATACATTTTACCAACAAACACTGCCCACACCATAGAACTACCACACCATGTCATATCAGGGATCATAAAATAAATTATGTACATCTATGAATTTTCCCACAAATTCCTATTTCCTGATTGGATTGGTTTTGCCTCCAGTGTCATAGTAAATGTAGCCTGCTTATTGGTTCAGAAAGAATTCCGAGTTATTGAAACACTAGTCTGAAGGTGGGACGCTGCAGAGGCTTCTTGAATGGGACCAGCAGACCCTGTGGTGCAGTTGGTGCCTGTAACTCGTTAGCCATGACTGAGGCAGCACTTTTCCGCAGGTGCAGGTGCGTCAGGTGTCCTGATTCCTCTTACGTGTTAACAGGTCACTTGTTTTTTATTCGGTTTAAATTGGTGATGGACGTTGCTTGATAGAGCTTATTACTCTATATTTGGGGAAGGTAGCAGGTAAGAGGGTCCATATTCTTTCTTTGCCATGAAATGAATAAATTAGGAAGATTGTATTTACTTTCACGTCACTGTTTTTAAATACACGTTTAATGAAATAAACTGTAAAATATCCAGTTTTTTGTATTATATGTACATTTGATTTTTTAGTAGCCTTTCCAAAGAAATGAGGGCATGATTATTGTACAATGAATACTGTGACTGATTTAATTTGATGTACAGAGAAGAGTGTGTTCTTAAGGATAAAAATATTTAACGGCACTCATCTTGTGTTTTGATCTTTTATTTCTTGAAACAAACACTTTACAAAGTGCTGAGTAGGTGATAGTGACCCAACTTGTTTGCTAAATGAATATTTGTTTAAATCTGTACAGTTTCGAGTGTTTACTTATACAAAGAGTGTACATACTTTCAAATAATTAATTTAAAGTGCTTTATATTATTTGGCTAGAAATTGCTGTTTTTAATAAATGTGAATTTTTTAAAAATAAAGATTTTTGCTTCCTACTTTGTCCTTATGTGTCTGGTATGCATGCAGATTCTTTTAAACATTTTTTAATTGAAATTTTTATTAAGATAACTTGTAGATTCACATGCGTTTGTAAGAAATAATACAGAGAGATCCTGTGAATCCTTTACCCGGTTTCTTGCAGTAATAACGTCTTTTAAAACTATAGCCCAATATCACAGCCAGGATACTGATGTTAATACACTTCACCAGTCTTACTCAGGTTTCCCCAGTTTTTCTCATATTGTGTGAATTCCTTTGGCAAGAGAATTTATTGCAGAAAGACATTTTTGAAGCATCTTAATGCTTCATTAATTAAAAGACAATTTCATTTTTTCTTTGTTTGCAAAACTGCCAGTTTCCTGAGTACTGTCAGCACAAATAATTGTATTGAAATTTAGTATTATTGTAGTAGCAGTAAACACAAATTTTTTTCCCACCTGGTTTAACAACACCGTATCTTTCAGTTTTCTTCTGCTGTTACCTTTTGAGTAAGACAGAACAGTCAACCTTAGTTTTCAAGAAGGGGCCATTAGTTAAAGGAACCTGGGGATGCTGATGGGAGATCCTGCTTCTCAGAAAAGAGGGACTTTCTTGCTCTCCTTCTGAAGCACTTTTCTATTGTAGTTTTTTTTTTTTTCTCCCCCTCTGAGGCAAGGTCTCACTCTGTTGCCCGGGCTGGAGTGCAGTGGCCTGATCATAGCTCACTGTAATCTCGAGCTCCTGGCCTCAGCGATCTTCCCACCTCGGCCTCCCGAAGTGCTGAGATTACAGGCCTGAGCCACCATTCCTGGCCCAGGTCGTTCTTTTACTAGCTTATCTATCTTCTGTTCTTCAGCACCGAATTTCTGTAGACAGGAAGCAGCTGCTGGAAACCCAGTACAGCCTGATAATTGTCTAAAAGGTTTCAGAAAACGTATAGATATGCGCTCACTATTAGACATTTCTGTAGTGTTTGAATTTTAGTGTAAAATGTGAAAGTCTTTCATAAATGAGCCCTCAAAGGCAAACTACAATTAAATGTTTGGCATATAGCTTCCAGGTTTTTTAAATGTATATTCTAAAACAGTTTTTCTCACAAGATTGGGCTCTTCTACACATTTTAAGTGACATCAAGTGGGTTTTAATTATCGGTGTATGCAAACACACAGATACACACATATTCTTTTGCTGAACTTTTTGAAGGTAAGTTGCAGACATCATGACATTTTACCTTTAAATTTTACTCCTAAATAATTCAGCATCCATCTCCAAAGAATAAGGGTATTCTCCTACATAATCCCAATACCATTGTCACACCTTAAAAAGATAAATTCAGTAATATCTAATA